TGGATGGCAGACGGTAGAAACCGATGGTAATGTGATCAATACTCTAAGTAGTACATGTCGAGCAATATCAACATCAAATATTGTCGGTATTGTCGGACCGGTACTTTCACGTGAAGCTCATGTTATTGCTAATTTTGCTAAAACAATTGGAATTCCTGTTATATCGTATTCTGCAACCGATCCAGATTTATCTGATCGAAATATTTATCCAGCATTTTATCGTACAATTCCTTCGGATAATACAGCTGCATTATCAATTACAAAATTATTCATACGATTTAATTGGACATCTTGTATTATTATTTATCAAAATGATGCATTTGGATTTGGTGGTGAAAAAGCACTTACTCGAATATTTCATAACAATAGTTTAATAGTTATAAAAAGTATCATATTTGATATAACGACACGTCAAATTCAAGGTAATTTAAAAAATGAATTAATCAGTAGTTCAACACGACTTATTATATTATGGACTGAATCAATTTATACATCTCTCATTTTACAATATGCACTTGATTATGATATACTTGGTCCAAAGTTTACATGGATATTACTATCAAATATTCCATTGAATTCATTTGATCAAAATTCTTATCAAAAGTTAATCGGTATATTGACTATAGAACCTACTATTGGAGATATTGTTAATACACCCATTAACTCAACATTATTAGATGCAGCATACAATATCTGGAAACAATATGAACCAGAATCATTTCCTGGATCGAACAAAGTGAATTATCATGCATTATTTGCATTTGATGCAACTTGGTCATTGATTCAATCTTTAGAACAATTTTGTTCATTAACAAATACTAGATCTTTTTCGTGTGTATCCATTTTTAATTCTTCATTCTGTTTTGATCATCGTTTTCTTCATGCAAATATATTTTTCGATACAATGATAAATATGACATTTCTTGGTGTATCGGGTCCTATACAATTTAGTCTAAATGTAACTGATCGAATTAATGGTAATTTTTATTTAATACAAAATATTCAACCATATGAAAATCATATTGATTATGTACCTGTATTAGAATGGTCTGATTTAGATAATTGGAAATCATCTTCACAGAGAACTATTATTATATGGCCTGGTAATACATTAATACCTCCTACTGGTCGTGCATGTATTTCTGGTACTCGATTACGAATTGGTGTTATTGAATCGACACCTTTCACAATGATAACAAACGTTATAGATAAATGTGGACAAAATACAACAAAATTAATTGGTTTTATACCTGATCTTATTGATCTTTTACAGGAAAAAATGAAATTTATTCCTCAAATTTTAGTAGCATCTTTAAATCAGACCTATACTGAATTAATTAGAGCAGTAATAAATGATGATTATGATATTATCATTGGTGATGTTACTATTACGGCTAGTCGACGAAAACAAGTTAGCTTTTCAAATTCAATTTTTGATAATTCTTTACGTATCATTATGCGAAAAAATACTAATGATAATCTAGATCTTCTCTCATTTTTAAAACCATTCTCAATTGGTCTCTGGATATTACTTTTTATTACGAGTATTTATGCTGGTGTTTTAATCTGTCTATTAGAACGACAGGAAAATGAAGTATTACATGAAAGATCAATTATTTCTTCAATTGCTATGAGTTTATGGTATTCTATCGGTACTATTATGGGATATGGTGCTGATTTTCATGCAAGTACTGCAGCTGGACGATTATTAACGCTTGGTCTTTACTTCTTAAGTTTGGTATTAGTAGCAACATATACTGCAAATTTAGCATCAGATCTAACTATATCAAAATCAAAAGCTATTATTTCGAGTATTGATGATATAAAAAATGGTAAAATACCATTTCATCGTATTGGTGTTCGTATCGGTTCAGCAAGTGAAGAATATTATTTACGAGAGATTTCTGGTGGAAATCGAAATTATTATCCATTAAAATCTCGACAAGAACTCTATGAAAGTCTATTGAATGATATTATTGATGCATCTTTCTTAGATACCGGTGTTGGAGAATATATAACTAATACTATCTATTGTAATTTAACACTGGTTGGTACAGATTTTGATAAGGGCGCATTTGGTGTTGTTTTTCCTAAACAATGGATATATGGACAAGAATTTGATGTAAGCATATTATCATTACGAGAGTCGGGTGTTCTTGATGATTTAAAAAGAAAATGGTTTCAAACCAATAGCTGTCCTGACTTATCTGTTACATCTACTAGTGCCGCCATTGAAACTATGAGTGGCTTATTTCTTACATTTGCAATGATTAGTATTCTATCATTACTTCTATTCGCATGGAAAAGACGTTTTATCATACGAAATTATCTGTGGAAACGATTATGTCGAAAGGTTTCTTTAACTTTTCCAAATACCTCGACGATACGGCGTTCAACCGAAATTTCGAAATATTCTGAAAGTTCCAAGCCAGTTCCATCCGCCGAGGCATGTTTTTGAGCACAATAATGTCTGCATTGCAAATGTATATTCACCTAGATTATGAGAGGATTTAGCTCATCTTTAAGCCTCCTTTTGACTTCGCCACTAATCATGTTGAATATAAGATCATTTAAAATAAATCTAAAAATGTAAAATATATGGATTTGAATAATTGAGAGGATAACGATTCCAACAGTTCAATACGAATTTGATTGACTTCGGATTGGCTCTTTTCGACTTGGTTGATCTTTTAAAGTGAAAACTTATGAAGGATATTCGGATTATATTTTTAGATTTTCTATACAAATTTTAATCGTGATTAATCCATTAATAGACATTAACAACTGTTCATCATCAAGTTCTAAGAATGTGCATGTCTGTTTCTTAATGTTGATATGGTCTGATTGTTCTTACTAATTGATGACGTTTCGTCAATGATCAGATGAAATATTGTTGATTTAAGCAAATAGATGTGCCTGTTTTTTTTCTATCAGAATCTTTAAACACAACCATTCCACATATAGACTCGCCTACAACTTGGTCAGCGGTTGGTCAATGTCGTTTTTCAAATATTAGTCGTTCACTCACACATCCATTGTTAGCTATCATTAGAAACTGTCATCTTTCCATAGAGTATATGCTTCAAATCTGTGACATTTTTTATGAAGAAAAAAAATGCTTTTTTTTAACATGAAAAGATAAATTCGCTTTCGATATTGTGTAACAATCTAATGTTTTTCTCGAGATAGAGGTGTAAGAAAGTAACGAAATTCATCGACGGTTAAATTACGCATATGAGTTGTAAAATGAACATTATCAAAAAAGACATAAGATTCTAGTTTGTACAAACAATAATGGCACTCGATGATAGATCCTAACACAGATTGATTGTATTTCTCAATCTATAAAAAGAAGTATTGTCAAGAATCTTAGACACAACTAAATGAAGATCGAAAATCTTTAAAGATATTTCTTTGTTGTTTGTTTGCAGTATTCTAATGTTAGTGAAAAGATGATCATTGTATTGATGTGTAAGATTAACAAAGTGAAATAGTTGAGTGTAAATTTTGAAGAAGTAATTGATTGAAAACGATGATATATTTAGCTTCAAAACTTATAAGAACTTTAACTACATTCAACAGGCTATCAATGATCATGAATGTATTCAAGATCTTATTAACAAGATAATCATTACCATTGACCTAAATAATGTAGAGAATACGGTAATCGCTGATATTACTAGTCTTTATCTGTTGGTGAATATTGCGTGCAATTTTTCTATCTACATACAATCATTCGGAAATCTACTTCGAAAAAAAAATCCGTGAGTATAAGCTCTTTGTCATATTGTAAAAGTTCCCCCATATCTAGGTTCGAGTCGTCAAAGATCACTATTGTATTGAACTGAGTTTTCTCCATACTTTGTGCTATCTGTTCATTGGATTTCAACAGATAATCTGATTGATGATTCAAAAATTGAGTATTACAATTTTTGCATCGGTAGATCATTAATATAAAGAGAACCACATATGTATATTCATTCGTCGTAATATATATTTCTTTGAGAGTACATATATGTTTTAATGTTGACACTGCGTCTCATATTTTCATATGTTCAAAATATTTGAAGTAAGAGTGAGAATAAAACTTCAACAATAGATTAGAGACTATATAAAGGTTTGAGCAGAGGTATTCTAAAGAATATCGTTGTCGGAAAGGATGTGTGATATGATTGTGGAAGAAGAGAAGAGTTGCACCAACAACTGCACAAATGCCTGTTCTCATTTTATTGAAATTTGTAATAAAAATAATGAAAAAAAAAAGAAAAATTGACAATATTATAAAAGACTAGTGTTCTTGAGCATTCTTTAAGTGATCAGCATTTAAAAAAAAAAATCAATGGGCCCTTACTGCGTGACTATGAAATACATCAAAGTTTTGGAGAAATTTGTAAATCCACCAGAATATGTCGACATCTGTGGTAAAGAAATACTATTTTTGTTGAAATTATTCGACTGTTCGATTTCCAAAATTCGAACGATTTGGAATGAAAAATTTTTGTAAGTCTTTTGATTTCATTTTAATTCAACAATCAATGCTAATGCAATATTATGCTCGGTTGGTTTTTTACTACTCTCAACTAGTAAAATATTATTTTTTTCTTTTGCGTTCTGATACATTGCCAACAAATAACTACCAACAGTATGACGAGCAGAGTAATGACAGTTTCAAATTACTCACATTATTGCAAAATCGGGCATCTTTCATCATCAGACTCATACAAAATAATCAACATATTGTCAACAAACCTTTAATCTCAATGCTGATCGCTTTATTCATCCATAGAACTTTAGATGAGTGAGGAATGACTGAGTCGAGGAAGTGTAGTTCGTTGTGTATATATTCATCTGATGTAGCAATTGAAGGTTATTTTCATATGAAAAACTTTAATAGAGTTTTATAGGGCATCGAGTGTATTTTTTTTATTAATATTGTTTTCTTTTTAGAAACAGCATATAAATTACTGATCAAACTTAAACTAGAATAAAAACTTTTTGACATGGATCGTCGATATGACCATACTTTAGAGATCTGTCGAAAACTTTCAAAATGTCCAGGTGTTCATTCTGTTATTGCTATGCAAGCAGCTGGATTTGAATATACAAACTTTCGTGATACAGTACGATGCAATGAATGTCAATTAGAAGTGTCCGATTGGACGAAGGCCATGAAGCCTTTTACTATTCATGGAGAACGCAGTCTAGATTGTGCATTCGTTCGTTCCATACGGTCATCCAATAAAAGTGTCTCTTTATCATCATGTGCGTCACCAATTACTAGTCGAAATGAAATCAATACAGAATCAACTAGTGAGAGTACTTCCGAAACTGAAGTAAAACTTCATCCACACATGTTCGCAAAACCGGAGGTAGTCGAACAAAGTCGTCATCGAACTTTTTCACAAGAGACTTTTTCATGTCCATTGTGCCTAGAGCGGATGATCAAAGCTGGTTTCTTTAGTTGTAATATTGATGATCGAGTTATTTGTCTTGATTGTAATCTTATTTGTCATCAATGGGTACCGCATAGTGATGATCCATGCGAAGTGCATCAAACACTCTCGCCCGAATGTCCTACAGTGAAAAACATGTTAATACACAGTCAAACTTCATCTGCATTAATTGTTAATGATAATTCAACGACCAATCACACTGCAGGCGCAGTTAATACACATACATTTCATTCCAATGAAATTGTTCTAATTGCACCTCCCCATTCAGTCTATGAATATATTCCAAAACGTATCGAATCATTTGCCACTTGGCCAAATGGGCCTCTACCCACTATTGATGAATTCGTTCGTGCAGGATTCTTTTATACTGGTAATGGTTCAATTGTTACTTGCTTTTACTGTCGTAGTTCTCTTCACAATTGGAATGCCAATCATGATCCAATGATTGAACATGTCAGATGGTTTCCACATTGTGCGTACGCTAAACAACTCTGTGGAGATGCCCTTCATCGAACAATTCAAGAATCGACACGAGATGCACAAAGTACGTACGCAACATATTCTCTCTGAAAAATAAACAAATTGACCAGTTTTTTTTTTTTGCTTTTTTGAATATAGGACTCACTCGAACCAATAATCCAACAAAAAGTAACACTGTTGATGGTCAAAAATTATACATATTCGATGAAGAAAAGCTATCACACCTGGTAGCTGCTCGTTTGAAATTGCCCATGTCTCAAAAATGGCTTGCTCAACACTTTCAATTGTCAATTATCAAACTTTGTTGGGAGAATCAACTGCGATTAAATCGTAATTTGAAATATTTAATTCATTGTAGAAAAAGAATGAATCTATAATTTGAATTATTTTTAGATGTCGACTTTGAATCTGAAGGTGATCTATTAGTGGCTTATATTGTTCTTCAAAACCAAATGATTCATATCGACAAAAGAAAAGAACATATTATCATTCCTGCTGAAAAAATGCGCGAAATTCATGAAAGACAACAACAACAATCAGGTAGATTTCAAACAAAATATTATATATTCAGTTGAATTTCTTTGATATGATGATTGTATAGGAGGAACTCGTGCTAGTGTAACATCGATTTCGGCTCCAGTGACAGCATTGCCAACAAATGCGTTGAATACTGCTGAAGTCGGAATAAGTGTAATACCAGAATCATCGATGGATCAACAGATGTCAATAGAATTAACGCCCGTGACTCTATGTGCAGTCTGCAGAAAGGAAGAAAGATGTCTCGCTTTCATTCCGTGTGGTCATATGGGTACTTGTCTTTCATGTGCTCATTTACTTAAGTCATGCCATATATGCGGACGAATAATTGAAGCGTTTGTTCGTATATATATTTGATGAACCAAATACCGGTGTACTTGATTAATGAACAGTCTCGACTAGAATACTATATTAATGTCCACATCATGACCATGTTCCACTGACAAGGAAACATATCCAACTGTCGAATACCGTCCGATCTCATATTCTGGCTACGAGTAGGACTCAATAAAGCTAAGAAAAGCCTAAAAGGGTTTAGACATATGCATTATCTAGCTAGAGTGATGGCAATTTAGTCTGTATTCGACCACTGTATCAGTTGTTCATGGAAAACTCAATTATGAGATTTTGATCTGAAACTTATCCGTAGACAACTTTCATGGCCGTTAGAATGTCTTAAAAGTTTCAACAAAAACGAATGTGTTCTTTTTCAGATATCGAATTGTTTTAGGCACTCGATATCTCACGAAAAATATATTCGTTTGAGCTGAAATTCTCGTCATTGACTTTTCCATGAATAGGTGACTCAGATGCCGAAAATCTACTAAAATGATTATAACTCTGGCTTATTAAACTATGAGTTCAAACTCGTTTTAGACTCTTCTTAGTTTCACTGAGTTCTACTCATTACCAAAATATAGTGTCGAACGATCCTCGACAGTTGGATATGTTGTTCTCTTGTGAGACCATGAATACCGGTAGCCAGTTCGTGATCAAGCCTGCGCAATGTCAACTATAATGATCCAAAAAAAAACACACTCGTAAAATAGCAATTTATTGATTTTTGGCCATGTGGATTTTTCCTATCTTCTTTCCCAATGCTTCTTTAACATAAACATTCTAAGGGGTGGGTGGGTAGGTTTGGATGTTTTTATATGTAAATAAATAAATTTGATTTTCTATAAGCATATATGTATAATGTCATTCAGTATATGTGTGAATTTTATTTTTATTGTTTTTTATAATTGAGTGATTTTTTTACTTAAGAATAAATGATTATCAAATTTCATAAATAGCTATTGTTAATTTTGAATGACCACGTCCAATACCTTGAAAACAAATCAGGATCAATAACTGGAACATCATTATCTAATAGTCATTAATGATAATAATCCAATTTTGATTGTATAATTTCATTTGTTTTTAACTTACTATCGATATTGAATTATGTATTGTTTGAACAAGACTAGAAATATATATAAAGTTTAACTTCAACATTTTCTTTATTGATCAATAATAATAATATTTGAACATAGAAGCACTTCGAGTATAAAAAGCGATAGTAATGATTGATATTAATTTTTCATTTTATCACAAAGGTAAAGTAATAAAAATTAGAGAAATACACAATTTAAGAAATGTAAAAGCTATTGGCATTTATCCACTACTATCTATTTCAAAATACAAAGCGAGTGATTGCGAGTCGAATAAGTCTGGAACAGAAGCAGCTATGGAGTTGCGGTTTTCACCATTAAAAAGCGAACATTGAGGCACGTAAATCTATGGAAAAATTTTATTGGTTAGTAATGGACCAATAGGATAAAAGCACACTGAATATTTTGAAGATAGCTTTTGGAACGCTTTTTTCGTTGAATTTTGAACTTCAATTAAACTATTCGATAGAGAAGATTATTCTCTTTCAATCTATGTAAGGCCGAGCTCGATAGCTCGCTCCGTTCGGTAGCTGCAAGCATTTTTCTGAGACCCCGAAATCGGCCAGGTAACGCGGAATCATCCTTAAAAGCATTATATTTTAGGTAATCGACCACGCTGAATTTAGTAGTGATATTTGTTTTTCATTTCAAAGTAACCTGAGATCACTGTATCAAGATTTTCAATATACGCGTTCTTTAAGCCAAATAGCATCAAAAACTAGATTCACGAAAACCTTTATGTAATCATCTCAGGTTACTTTGAAATAAAAAAAACAAACATCATCACTGAATTCAGCGTGGTCGATTACCTATAATCTAATGCTTTTAAGGATGATTCCGCGTTACCTGGCCGATTTCGGGGTCGCAGGAAAATGCTTATAGTTATCGAACGGAGCAAGCTATCGAGCTCGGCCTTGCATAGATCGAAAGAGAACAATCTTCTCTATCGAATAGTTTAATTGAAATTCAAAATCCAACGAAAAAAGCGTTTTACTGACCGATGAAATTTTTTTATAGACTTACGTGCTCTGATGTCCGCTTTTTAATGGTAAAACCACAGTTCCATAGCTACTTCCTTTCCCGAGTTATTCGACTTGCAATCACTCGCATTCTATTTTGAAATGGATAGTGGATCTCTATCTATTTCCATTTTCACAAGTCCTCATTATCTGATATGATTGATATATTTCGACAATTGGATGAGAGCAAAACAAACTTTAATTTTGAAATAAGTTTTTCTTTTCCCGTCTGCTCTTAAAATGAAACAACAATGTATGATTGAATATTTTAATTCACAAGAAAAAAAAATATATCCTTATGCTTTGTTATGCAATGATTTACTGAAACATAAAATTATATGAAAATCGATAGAAAATCTTTTATATCATGATAAAAAAATACATATATATTTCTGTTTATTTATTTTAAACGTTATACATCGTTGCAATTTGATGTGCAAGATCTAATCGATTTAATTTATTTGTTGAAAGAAGAGAATATAATTGAGCAACAGTTGGTGATGGTAATATACTATTACACCAAGTAGATATAACTCTACCAGCAGGATATTGAAGACTTTGTGATAACCAATGATCAATTTCAGATTGATCTATTCCAATCAATCGTGCTAATTCAACCCATTCAGGTGATCTATTTCGTGATCGATGTTGTTTTTGATAAGAATTAAAATCATTGATATTTTCAGTATAATTTGAACCTATTTATATTAAAAAAAAAAAAAAAATTATATAATAGAAAACTAACTAACTCATTCTTGAAGGTGGTCTTTGAATATAATTATCTTTACTAAGTTCTTTGATAATTAACATACGTAAATTTGAATCCATTTTATCTATTAATGTATCACTTGCTAATGGAAGATGAGATTTTGATGAAAAAAAATTTTCTTTTAATTGTTCATCATTTTTTGTTTGTTGATGATCAATTTGTTTATCATCATTAATTATACGAACTTCATTAGCAAATAAAACAGTTCGTTTTGTATTTGAAGATAGATTATTATTATTATTATTATGATGTTCTTTGTCTTCATTTAGATTTAATGGAATTATTGATGATGATGATAATATGTAAGAATTATTATCTTGTTGTTGAAAATCAGAAGAAATCTTTTGATCTTTTACTTCATGATGTTCTTTATTAAATGTTTTTTTTAAATGTAATTTTTTTGCATCATTAACTATTACAAAAATATTTTCATTGATTAAATTAAATGATTTAATTAAATAAGCTTACTTGATCGAATATTAGGAGATGAAAAAATACGACAAACATCTTCAAGATTTAATCGATGTGATTGAAGAATATCAGTTGTTTTTAAATTTAATTTTTTAAATATACCCATTTCTAATTGATCAACTAAAATAATATATAAGATTATTATTTTTATTATTAAATTGATTATTATTTTTTTTTGCTTACCTATTGTAGCATACGTAATTTGAAGTAATTGTGCATTTTCTTTCCATAAATCACGTTCACGTATAACAAATGTTAGTCGTTGATCTGATGTAAGACGTTTTCGAAATAGATTTGGTTCATCAACAGATAATTGTGTAATACGTTTTTGAATAGAAAATTTTTCTTTATCATCTATTTCTTGAAAAAGATTTAAAAAAGCTGTTCGATAATAACATATATTATCAATCATTGATAATAAATTATCAAGAGATATATCAGATGGTTGTTGTTTTGTTAAATCGATTTCATTTTGATAATCATCAATATTAATATTTTCTATTATTTTCGAACAGATACTATTCAATTTTGAACGAATTTCTTCACGTTCACGTATTAATCCATCAATTTGTATTTGATGATGATCAATAACTTCTTCTTGTGGAATATTTTTCTTACCTTTCTTACTCGATGATGAATCAATTCTTTTTCGACTACTTTTTTTATTAGATGATACAGGTCGTGCCGACATACTTATATGTAAAACGACTAAAATACAAGAAAAAAAAGGATTAAATTTTTATTCTTTTTTTGTGATGTTATTAATATTTTTGTTTTTTAGAATCATTACTGATATATGTATGTTTGAGATCATATTTTCAAATGTTGATCAAATTCTTACCTCTTTTATAATCAAATAATAACAAAAAGTGACAACTAAAGAAAAAAAAAATTTGGAATGTCTTAAAACTTTAATTTAAAGAGAATAACAAGAGAACAAGAAAAAAAAAGGTAAAAGTTCGATTTTATGACTTTTTACATACCGATGTTTGTGTATTGGAACGATGCATGACTCTCGTTACAATTAAATGGAGAAGAAAAAAAAAGATGAAGAGAATGAAAAAAGAAAAACGAACCATCAAACAATCTAAAAAAAACATAAGTAACAGACGCAAAAATAACAATTGTGTTATTTTTATTAAACATTTTTTTGAATTAAGTATGGATTCAGCACTCTAAATTGTCGAACGATAAAAAGAAGGAAAAAAGATTTCGTCGATTATACATATTGTATTATATATATATATTAAAAAATGAATTGCAAAAAAACGTTTTTATTCATCGATTTAGAAAATATTTTTGACAATTCAATGTTAATATGATGAGTAAAAATTTATTAATATTGCTCAAAACCACCAGTACATGTACTTTTATTCAAATGAAATATATATTTTCTTCATATAATCAAAACAAAAAGATTTTCTCTATAGACATGTCAATCAAATGTACTCGCTCACAAATAGAGATCAACGAAAGTTGTAACAAAAATTATATGTCGTTAAATTGACACCCGTCACTTTTAGAAAAAAAAGTTTTCACTTGTACGTATATGACAAAACACTTAAATTTAGATGTAATCGCAAGTTAAGAACATTCAAACAGGAATTTGAACTATTTATTACAAGCAAAGCTTCATTCCACGTTTTTTTGTTTTGTTGTTGTTCC